TTGAAAATCGGTATTACATTCGCTATCCTTCAGGATTCTGGTACTACACCTGTTTTTAAGGACATGTTAAACAACTTTGCTAAGGGCATACTAAGCTCTTCCTTACATTCCTTTAATACTCTGGCAAATGACAGTGGATGAACGATCGGACTAGGTGTAGGGCAAAAGGCATGAACCTAGTTGTATCCCATACAAGAAAGTGCTCATCAGGGTGGTAAAAGGATAAACTCTCGGCCCTGAAGATCAAAAAGAGTTATGGACACAAAATCACTAGGAACGCTACTACAAGACAGTGGTTGGATCGGTTCCCTTTTTGAAGCAGGAGTGGCTTCATCTGGTACAGCAGAGTCTTTTATGTCTGTATCAAGTGTAACTAAGACAAGACTGGCACATCAAGTTCACAGCATGCACCTTGTACAAACTGATGAAGGAGGCATACCAGGACTATTGCTCTGATGAGTCTGAAAGGTCAACTTTAAGCTTTGAAGACACTCTACCTGTGTAGGCTTTCTGTACACCACAAATATATATATATATATATATATATATATATATATATATATATATATATATATATATATATATATATATATATATATATATATATATATGTTCAAAGTCCGCGTGTTATATGGACATATATATATATATATATATATATATATATATATATATATATATATATATATATATATATATATAAAACATAGAAGTTTGTCTGTCTGTTTATTTATTTGTTTGTGTGTCCGCACGAGAATCTCGGAAACTACTTTACCGATCTGTAGTGATGATGGATGATGTTATCATAATAATAATAATAATAATAATAATAATAATAATAATAATAATAATAATAATAATAATAATAATAATAATAATAATAATAATAATAATAATAATAATAATTAACGGTTTATTGAAAGAGCTTGGCAGCCAGAAGGCTGAAAATATACAGTTACATATCTGGGGAATGGGTTTCGAATTACAAATAATATACAAATAACATAAGTGATATAAATAAGATATATAATAACTAGATGGGGAAAAGCTCAAACTACAGGGCATTTCAACATAGTGACAGTGCAAGAAGTAGTATTTACTGGGAGTGAATACACTGGTTTATTACAAGTTATTGATAATTTTTACAATGGTTGGGACTGGGCTGTTCTTATAGCGATCAGTTCGTGCACGTATGGGCTGGATGCGGTTGTGGTGTCGAACAGCAATTCTCTGGTTAGGGATCTCAGGTGGTAGTAGGAGCCGGTGTCGAGGATGGTGTAGAAGCTTCTTACCAAATTTGCAGATGAGGTCGTGGTGATGGTCAGTGAGAGTCGAAAGGGTCAGCGCTTCTTGATATGTGGAGTAGGAAGGGGAGAGAATGATCTTGCATGCCCTCTTTTGCACTTTTTCTAGGTGTTTACGTTGTGTGGCATTTAGGGGGGAAGACCAGGTGGGGGAGGCATAGGTGAGCTTGGGAAGTATGAATGTTGAGTAAACACTGTGGAGCTCGGGTGCAGGAACTCCGAGGGACTTGAGTCGGCGGAGGAGGTGGAGACGGAAACTGGAGGATTTGACAACTTCACTGACGTGTGGTTTCCAATTTAGTTTGTTGTCTATGAAGTGATGATGGATATTGTTATATGTAGTGATGATGGATGGTGTTATATGTAGTGATGATGGATGATATTATATGTAGTGATGATGGGTGGCGTTATGTGTAGTGATGATTAGACAATAAAATAATAACAGCTTAATACTAAAAAAATATACTTTGCTGTAACATTGCAGTGAAAAACATGGTGCAACTTACATACACCGTTAATGAACTATTGATGGAAGAAGAAGTTTTGTGGACTGAACAGTGAGACAATGTGGAGCCTCCCGGAGGGTGGCGTCCTACCGTTGCTTAGCGGATGAGCCGCCCGGAGGGCGGCGATTCAGCTAGTGTATATATATATATATATATATATATATATATATATATATATATATATATATATATATATATATATATATATATATATATATACACATGAGGTCAGGTCATAAACATGACATCCACTAATCCGCACACCAACACCACCTAGAAACAGTGACACAGTGGAATTTTTAGACAAGCTTAATGATCTTGTCCCTATTATTACATTCAAAATTGAAAGAGAAATATATGGATCCCATCCATTTCTTGATATGCTTACCTTAGAAATGGCCATAACTATAAATTTAAGGTGTACAGAAAGCCTACACAGGTAGACAGTTTCATAGATTATTTATCGAGTCACCTGGAATCAACCAAAATGTCTTTTTTTTTGCTATGTTTTTGAGACGTTTGCGTATTTGTGATGCTGCATTTATGGATGAAGAACTGAAACACAGTCCATTGTACAAAAACTTGGGTACCCTTCATTGTTTATTGATCATTGTTTTAAAAGGGCTAAAAAATCCTTTCATTCTACTGAAACCAGGCAAATTCCTACATTTAAGAATATTTTGACTGCCTTATCGCAATGAATTTGTCCCGTTAGTTCAGTCTCTTAAATTATTGAATATTAATGTTGTTTTTAAGTATGTTCAGTCCTCTAGGACAGACTAAATTGCAACTCAGAATTGAATATCTGAAAGCAGTGCACTGTTCGTTCATGTTAGGTTTTTAGAAGTATGACTCTACTATTAGCAATATATTAATCAAGTCCCCTATATTGAGTCGTAATCTAGCCTCAAAAAACTCCATATAAATACAGGCTAAAGGAGCAGAAAGACATCCTTGAATGTAAATGGAAGTGTTTACTGCATTCCATGAAGCAACTGTAATGGAAAGTATGTAGGACAGACTGGAAAACCATTGCAACTCAGAATTAAACAGCACGAGTACAATATCAGAACAGCATCTGAAAGCAGTGCACTGTTCGTTCATGTTAGGAACAATAATCCTCCCATGGATTGAGAAAACAGCTTAGAAGTGTACAAATAAACAAATTTTTCGAATGGTCTGAATAATGGCAGATGAAATTCAACGTGGACAAATGTAAAGTACTCAGTATAGGAGATGTAAACAGGGAAACCAGATACCAGATGAACAACGATGCCATAGAGAAATCCGACTGCGAGAGAGATTTAGGAGTAATGATAAGTAGGAACCTTAAGCCAAGTAAACAATGTGTTTTTGCTCGTAACAAGGCTAATAAAGTACTTGGGTTCATACAAAGGAGTGTTAGTTACAAGACTAGCGAGGTCATCCTAAAACTGTATCTTGCTCTTGTGAGACCACACCTGGAAGCAGTTCAGTTCTGGTCACCATATTACAGAATGGATATAGAATCCTTGGAAAGAATTCAGAGGAGAATGACAAGACTAATCCCGGGCACAAGGTTAAAGCATCTTAATTTGCACTCCCTCGAGAGACGTAGAGCGAGGGGCGACCTGATAGAGGTGTACAAGTCTAAACAAAGGGGATTACGCAGGAGCGAACTCGTAACAATGGTTTTAAATTAGACAAATTTAGATTTAGGCGGGAAATAGGTAAACACTGGTTTGGAAACAGAGTGGTGGATGAATGGAACAAGTTACCAAATATCATCATTAACTCGAATACGCTGAATAGCTTCAAACATAGGTTGGATGCTTATATGAGCAATAGGGGTTGGGTGTAAACGGGACTGCCCAGTATGGGCCAATAGGCCCGCTGCAGTTTCCTCCATTCTTATGTTCTTATGTTAAATCATCATGTGTCACAGAAAGACTTCTAGTTGAAGCTAGTTTGATTAGGGAATTGAATTCTATAAACCTTAGTGATGGTCAGTAAAAAACTGATAATATGTTACACAAATTTATTTGTCGGTGACCCAAGGTTAAAAATGCTTTTAAAAGCATTGGAGTTAGATGTAGGATAGATGATTAGTGGGTCCCATATTTTTGACCTGACTACTCACGTCGCCCTTTCTCTTAAGCTCCTTTGCATGTGTGGTGGTGTTGGTGTGCTCATTAGTGGATGTCATGTTTATGACCTGACCTAACGTTTAGTAAGGTCACCCTGTGTTCTTAAGCCTCTCTCTGTCTATGCAATTCAGTTGCCTCTGAAGATGTCTTGAATAAAGACGAAAGCTAAGGTGCTCCATTGTCTCCCTTTTCCCTATGTGATTTTATCAAGATATATCTTATCCACGTTTTCATTGTAGATCTACATATATATATATATATATATATATATATATATATATATATATATATATATATATATATATATATATATATATATATATATATATATATATATATGCTGATAACCACAAGGAAAGAAGAAAACACATCATAGAATCTAGTCTTATTAAACATACCGAAGTATTCAACATGAATTTGAGTAATCGCCTGTACAAACTGGACAATTTTGTAATTAAGAAGATTTGTAACCTCACCACCAACCGTTGTGTGCTATTTAAAGATTAGTAGGGTCATTACCTAATACCTGACCATTGTGGACCTGGTCTCACCCTCCTCTGTATATATACACCTTGGTTTGTATTTCTCTTTAGTCTGTACTCACCCCTGAAGATGTGAATTACACGTAAGCGCTTGGGAACTTCCTGTTTTCTTCTTTCCTTGTGGTTATCAGCATATACCTAGATCACGCGCACCTACACAGTCTTAGGCTCGTGGGCCGTCGGTTCGAATCCTGGCGGGTTGAGGTGTTGATTGTATGTAGAAGTCCGCGTGCTTTATTGGGCACCACTTCTGTATATATACACCTTGTGGTGTACTCACCCTGAAGATGTGAATACACGTAATGGGAACTGTGTTTTCTTCTTTCCTATGTATATATATATATATATATATATATATATATATATATATATATATATATATATATATATATATATATATATATATATATATATATATATATATATATATATATATATATATATATATATATATATATATATATATATATATATATATATATATATAAAGGTTAGAGAGTAAGATCCATTGTTCCATTACAGTATTCGTCACTGCTTGTAAACACATGGATGATGGTGAGAGAGAAGAAGCTATTGCCACTTTCACCCGTTACGTGGATGCTGTCATCGAGTTATTAGTGCCCCCGTACAGGAACCTACATCTTTCTATGCAGTCCCTCAGGCTTCTTATAGCCTCAAGGGGTACTATTCACACCCCAGCCATTACCAGCAATCAGTAGCAGCAAGCCGGTATCTTCGACACATTGTCCGAAGCGTATGAGTAGGTATTGGAATATTTTTGGTGGCAAAGGCCTAAATTTTCCGAGAAATGGGCGTGACAATAAAAAACCTGTTTATCAATCTTCTATTTCACGAAACCTATCAATTGGCAGTCAATACAAGGACTGTATTAAGTGTGAGGGACACATATAGGCGTCTAGTGTGTTTTGTCTGCCCAGTAATTTGAGAGCTTATACAATCATTACATATCATATAAGTTGTAAATGTTTGTTTAGTACTATTCTGCTCTATATATTTTGGTAATCAATTAACGATTTAAAAAATGAAGAAGATAACTCTTATTCTATATATTTTCGGTAATCAACGAACGTTATAAAAACGAAGAGAACCTCTAAGAAATTCTAGAAACTAATCTAAATTTAGACAAGCGCCGCAGTCACAATAAGTTACTTGACCGGAATATCTTGACGTGAGTAAATTACCCTGTCCTGCTTCACTTCTTGCTTGAGTTCGAGACTAGGGATTCATTTTGCACCAGTTGTTGTGAGGGTGGACGGAAATAAAATCCACAGGTAAAAATTCACATGGCTTGTACACATTGACAACACATTATATATATATATATATATATATATATATATATATATGATGGCATTGCACGTACGTTAGGTTAAGTTAGGTTAGCTTAGGTTTTTTCCGTGCCTTTTTATCTGTGACTTTTTTTTCTTGTGACTTTTTTCCTGGATTCTATATGTGAGAGGGCGGCAAGGCTTTCCGCGTCACTTAGCCGGGACCTGTCTCGCCGGTGACACCTGTCCACTCTGTGACTTTTTATGTATGGAATGGCGGAGGTCCTGCACTGTGGTGGTGTGATCTGTGTGGCCTGCCGCTAGCGAGCTGGTATAGCGTGTTACCTTGCTAGGATTTGTGTGTGCCACTAGCCCACTACAGCAACTTTTCAATATAGTGCTCACACCCTCAATGATGGATGCGTCCTCCAGTGTAACCATGTGTACATGAAGTCCAGTTGGCCAGAGTCGCCAAGTGACACCAGGCCCCACCTCTTCCAGCCATGATTAATATTTTGTATGGTCTCCTTAATATGCTGTCACTATTCTTAATTTATTATTGTTAACACATTTTTGTTTTATACTTATTTTTATTTTTCCTTTGGTACAATCATTCATATTTGAGGGATAAATGCAGAGTTAATCATAATTGGTGTGAAGATCTAACAACCTTTAACGAATACCTTAACATATTGGCTCAATGAGTAGGATTAACTGTTGTATTTATGCGGTTCAGTTCTGGTGCCCCTATTATAGAATGGATATAAATTCACTCGAGTCGGTGCAGCGAAGAATGACGAAAATGATTCCGGGACTTAGAAACCTTCCATATCAGGATAGGTTAAAGAAACTTAACTTGCATTCCCTAGAAAGACGAAGAGTGCGGGGAGATATGATAGAAGTATTTAAGTGGGTGAAAGGAATCAATAAAGGGGATATAGATAAAGTTCTTATAATATCCGAGCAGGATAGGACTCGGAGCAACGGATTCAAGTTGGATAAGTTTAGTCTTAGGAGGGAGATAGGAAGAAACTGGTTCACAAATAGGGTGGTGGACGAGTGGAACAAGCTTAGCAACTTTGTAGTAAGTGCGGGAACTCTGGAAAGTTTCAAAAGGAGGCTAGATAGATTCATGGATGATAGAGAGTGGTAGTAACTCTCGACAGGAGCTGCCATGCACAGGCCAACCGGCCTATTGCAGACTCCTTATTTTCTTATGTTCTTATGATCACTGTGACTCCGAGACTCTCGCTTCATTGAACGACCCTCCACAGTAATTTCTGAGGTATTTAATCTTTGTAAACCATATAAAAAAGAGAGTGAATGCACAGTGATATTTTACGCATTTCCGGCAGGTCATTTAATATTTCATGGGTCTAGTTATGTAGTTAGTACCTTTAAAGTGTACTACTAAAGTATGTTTTATATTTTTCTTACCCATAATAGGGATTGTTCCTCATCCCATTTGAGTAGTCTTGTTCTGTAACATATGACCTGGTTCATTCTTTGGCGCAAGCGTAGTGTGACTTATATCCATTACTCCCGAAGCTGATATGGATAGGTGATGGCTTCAGCTTTTCACGCGCTTGTGGTTCCATTGTTTGAGATGGTCTGGTGACCAGCGATGGTGCTGTGGCTGCCCGTTTGTATTTTCGTACATGTGTGATGAATTCATCCATTAATTTTACCTCGAAGATTTGAAGTACAATTTTTACTTCATTCTTAATTGTGTTTGTTACTCCTGAGATATAGAAGGACCTAAAATTGAAATATGTGCTTTAATAAAGGCTGGGAAAGATGCTGGTTTATCAGCGGTAAATATTTCAATGTTAATAGACAAAAAAGAGCAGAGATATAAAGAAGCCATAGCTCGCGAAGAACGTGCAGCAGAGCGGGAGACTAATGTCATGAATTAGATTTAGCAGATAAAGATAAACAACGCTCATATGAACTAGCCTTAACCAATTTGGAATTCACTTCAGGGGTATCTGTAGATGTAGATGAAAGTGTATCTAAATCTCTGAAGGGACTACAGATTCCTTGTTTTATCGAGGGCACAGATGATGTGGACTTGTGTTTACTTCAGTTTGAAAGCATTGCCGAGCTTCAGAGATGGAAGGAAATGAGTATCACATATATCTCGGTACTTTGTACGAGGTAAGGGTCTACAAACTTATATGGGTCTTCCTCGTGAAACTTTCGAGAATTATGAAGAATTAAAGAAGGCTTTACTTTTGACTTATGCAGTTGACATAGAATCATACAGACGTAAATTTAAAGAGTGTAGACTAAAGGATGGAGAAACTTATGTTCGGATGATTACTCGTATGGAGAAGATGGCTTATTTTCGAAGATGGTTTACTATGAGTGAGATAAGCGAATATTTTGAGTCTGTAGTCGATTTTATGATTAGAGATAATTTCTATAGCAATTGTTCTAATGAATTGATGACTTTTCTGAAAGAAAGGGAATTGGCTGATGACTTAAAAATTGCCAGGGCAGCAGTCATATAAAATTGCCCGTAGAAGTAGTAAAACTAAAACTTTGCCCAAACAACTTTCTGTTGTCTGCAATTCTGTAACGTCCGAGTCTCAAAAGAAGGAAGTTACACGTCACCATTGTAAAGAGAAAGGGGACATACGACCTAATTGTCCCCTGCTTTCTATATCAAAATCAAAACCAGTGAGTTCAATATCTACAGCTAAAGTAAACTTTGTGCTCCAAACTGAAACCTGTTCTGAGAATGCTTTACTTGACAAGGGTAAATTATTTGACAAAGATGTAAATATCACGCTTGACACTGGGTGTAATGCAATAATAGTTAATGATAAATTGATTCCTAAGAGGAGTAACAAGGGTAAGCTAGTGAGGGTGTATGACTTTCTGGGAGTTCCATCATTCTATCCTGAGGTTCGTTGTCACCTCCAGTGTAAGTTTGTATCTGGCTGGTTCAAAGCTATAGCTGCCCCCTTAAGGTTTACTGATGTTTTAGTAGGCCTGGTACCAGGTGTAACTGTTCCTTCTGTTCACGTGCTTGCTCTTCAAGCTAAAGATAACCCCCCTGAGTGATGTCAAAGATTTTGCAGTTCAGACAAGATCTCAATCTCAAAAAGAACTAGTACAAAAACTGTTCACTCCTGTACTACCTACATTACCTAGTAGCAAAGAGGATTTCATTGATGCCGAAAATAACTGTCCTAATCTTGATATTGTCAGGAATAAAGCTGGAGATACACCCCAGACAGTAAAGAATAGACCAGTTAAGTTTTCTCGATTATCTGGTATCATGTACAGGATTTGCATCTCGAGTAAAGTCAAAGAAGTTGGGAGTAAACAATTAGTTGTGCCTGAGAAATTCAGAAAGCAAGTTTTGTTCACAGTTCATGAGTCCACCCTTGTGGGTCATTTATTCACATAGAAAGACTGCAGGTAAGATCTTGAATATTTTATTTTTTTGGACTGGTATAACTCCTGAAATAAAGCGTTGTTGGCAGCCTTGTCCCACTTGCCAGAAAACAACTCCTAAAGGAAAAGTAAAGAAAGTTCCCTTAATTCCTATGCTTCACACTGAAACCCCTTTTGCTAAAGTTGCTTTTGATATAGTTGGCCCAATTACTCCATCATCTTTAAATGGTCACAAATAAATTTTCACCCTTATTGATTATGCAACTCGTTTCCTGGAAGCTGTGCCATTAACAAACTATAACTGTGGCTGAAAATCTTCTTGCTGTTTTCTCACGTGTTGGTTTACCTATTGAGATATTGTCCGATACAGGTCTCCAGTTTAGGTCATATTTGATTCTGAAATAGCTTATTATCTATTAAAGCTTTGTACGCGAGTCCTTACCATCCAGCTTGAAGCGGTACAGTAGAAAGATTTCATAGTGTTTTGAAATCAATGTTACAACGCTTATGTATTATAGGGAAATTCCTCATGACAAACTAAAATTTCACCTTTCGAACTTCTGTATGGTCGACAAGTGAGAGGTCCTTTGCATATTCTATACGAAAAATGGACGAAAGAAGATCTAGGTGAAGATTTACGTGATACTTATCAATATGTTTTGGACTTAAGATCTCGATTAGAAGCTTCTGCTGAACATGCTCTCAAAAATTCTAATATTAGTAGTTCTCAGTAAAAAAAACCTATTTTGACAAGAAAGCTAAAACTCGGAAATTAGAAATTGGTGACTAGGTGTTAGTATTACTACCAATTTCTTCTAGTAAGTTGACTATGACTTCGAAAGGTCCATATTGTGCCACTGGAACTCATTGTAATGGTGTAGACTATTGCGTCAAAGTTTGAGATATGATCAAACTTTTTTCAAGTCAACATGATAAAGAAATACATTAAAAGAGATTCCTCTAATCCAGGTTCTAATTGTGATATTATTGCTTACGATTCCTCTGATACAAGCTCTACGGTTAGCATTAATTGCACATTATCCTGTGAACTAAAGGAAGAGATTGATTCCCTTATTTTAGGATATTCAGATGTTTTCTTGTAAACCAAGTAAAACAGAAAGTGTTTCCCATGATATTAAATTAACTACAGACAAGAAACCATATCCCATACCTCATAATTTGGTTCATTATTTTATTTTATTTTTTTAACGAGGATTAGCCCACCCGGGCACAGGTCAATGACCCACAGCAGGGCCTGGGGTGCGAAGATATTATAATAACAATAATATTAATAATAATACACCTTCTTTCATTTGCAATTGAACAATTGACCACTTGCCTTTAACAATCAAGATTTTGGAATGACAAATTTCTATTTGCTTTCAACTATTTTCCGAATCCATTCAACAATCAGTTATTTTGATTTGACAATTTACAAAACCTTTCAACAGCCGCATATCTCCGATTGCTTTCAACAGTCAACCAAACTTTTCAACAATGCGACTGAAACAATCATCATTGAAAAGAATTTATTCAACAATCTTTAAAATCAGTAACAGCCATGAATATTTAATTTTTGAGTATACTTACACAAACATCAACAATACAATGAATTCTGGTATAAACAT